TCACTGACAATTGCTCATCGTCTTTCAACCATTCGTACATGTGATTTAATCTGTGTACTTGACAGAGGACATATAGTGGAAAGTGGCAATCATGTAGAGTTGACACAACGACATGGCGCTTATTACAAAATGCTTGCGGTAGAAAATTTACAACGATCGTTTATCAACGATGTTTCAAATGAAAATATGTTTTTTTTGAAGCATTAGTAGAAACTTTGTTTGACATATCTGACGCATGATTCAGTCCTATTGATAGGTTTTTGTGTGCACTTTTATTGTTGGTAAGAAGTTGAATACTTAATCAAGCTACAGTATATTGCATGAATTTTTTAAAACGTTTTCTTCATGTATGAAAACAGCGCAAACAATGATGATCTCAATAACTACCTAGATTTTGATTCATTTATACGAAAATAATCAAATATAAAAATACTTGCTGTATACTTCCCCATGGAATGATGATGGCCTAAAAATCGACGATTTTAGCGTGGGCTTTAAGTCTGATTAATTGTGAAATGATATGCCGATTGGAATCATCCAAAAGACGGTTTCTGCTAGTTTCTTGTCGACTTTTATTGAAGCTCACCAATTTTTAATGACTCTGTATATTTTATAGTTTATACTATACTCAAACGACCTCAAATAATCGGATCAACTAGAAAAATGTAATTGAATATTGCACGATGTTTGTCGAAAACACTGTTTGCGAACCACAACAGTCTAATTAGAAAAACTTATTGAGAAATATACTAAGCAAAAATTTAGATAGGATTCCCATATTAGAACAGTTTACTGTATTATTGATTTTTCGTTGATGATTCCCAACTTGATGTTGCATCTATTCTAAAATACATGATCTTTATTGATTCGCAGAGATTGCAAAACTAATTTATTTCTTCACCATTGAAGAAAACGAAATTATGCCTTACGTATAATATCATGCTGTACAGCTTTGAATAGCTTCTACACTAAAATAAGATGATTCTGGTGGACAACAGTCATAGAATTGCCTTCCTATTGTTTTATATCAGCTAAAATGAGTTCAACAGCACATATTTTGTACGAATCTTTAAAATATAATAAGCTATCTAATTCTGAGAATATTTTTAGAGTCATTGTGTTTTTGGAAGATGAGTACTTTCATATCTAGAAATAAAAAAATATGGAGTAAAATACTTTACTTGATCATTTAATTATGCTTTTCATCATGAAACCATTGATGAACTGTAAATAAGCGTTGGTTTTTCGAATATCGCGATTACTCATATAATAATCAACCAAACCCATAGTAATGAAAAAATGATATTTATTTATTACGTTGAGTGGTAACACACAGTCAGCGCAAGTTTCTTCTGTTACGCCTAGATAATTATAGTTTAGAAATTTGAAAACTTTTAGCAATGAATGATTGAAAGGATTAATAGTATACCAATTCAATAGCATATTTGTAAATATCGACTAGGAATATTGAATAAGAGCATTAATACACAATATGTTTTCTTTGTAGAATTTCGTAATAAGCTATTTCAAAGAGCATATTGGAAGAACAATGTCAGAAATCACGTATATATTAGTATTTTTGGCTCAAATTATGAAACTATTACCAGTGGAATAGAAAGCTATCATGTAATCTCTATCTAATAGCTGTATGTCAACTAATCTGGTGCATATCAATTAGAACCTTTAAATTTTTCTCTATTTTTTTCGTCTAAAATCAATAACTTTTTGTAGTAGCGAGACAGCAATAAAAGCTCGACTTAAGTATACAAATAAAATTAAAGTTCACATGATGCAAATGTGAAAATATATAAGAAATAAAATATTTTGATAAGATTTCCTATAACTCCATTTAGTGTAATATATATGTTTGTTCTAATGTCTATAAAGAAGAGACCTCATTTAGTATGCTTATTATTAACTGGATTAGAGAATATTCTTTGCTTTTCACTTGGATATTTTCTTCGACAAGCAGTGACTCGAAAAAAATTCAACTTACACTACAGGAAATAGTTTTGTGAAAAAATTGTATACCCAGCTCTAAAATTGCAAATATAGCTTCCTAAACTGAACGCTTCCTTTTCATCAAAACAAACCACTGCAAAAGAATACATAAATTCTTTGAAATGTTTGTTGAAGAATTAAATCTCTTCGTCTAACTTTAGGAGAAAGAAAATCTTCTTTTTTCAGAAAGAATTTTGTAGTTTCGAACAGGAAATAGCGTACCATGTTCTTTGCTGAAAAGCTTTTCATCTAGCAATTTTGACGCTAAAAATATATAAAGGCTTCATATCGTATAACGAAATATCACATACTGCGCAGGGCTGCCATCTGTACCCCATTTCGGGGTACAGTACCCCATTTTAACGTTTTGTACCTCAAAAAGATTTGTACCTCAGAGGTACAAAATTTGTACCCCATTTGGACAATTTCCTTTTGCATAAGATTAAAATCATATTTTGTTAAAATCGATAAACTTATTGACTGTAGTTGACATCTTTATTTAAATAGTAGAGATACGAAGTGTCAATTACATTGGCTGATTCATGACCAATACAGGACATTGTTATTCTTAGCATTGGTGTTTCCTTCTCTTTTGCAATTTGAATCTCACGATCGAAATTAAATCGTGTTTCTAATCGATTATAGTTTTCTATTAAAAGAATTCATATATATTTATTGCAAAATATCGAGGAATTATTGTAGATTTTAGTTATGCAGCAAATGAACAACGATAATTCTATTGAACTAGATATTGAAGTCATTGAGGAAGAGAATGACTCCATGACACTCGAATTTGAAAAACCAATAACACCAAAAGAAACATCAAGTTCTATGTCTAGATTATCTTTCAATATAGAAAGAAAGTCATTGAATTCTTCATCAAAATCAAAAAGATATTGCAAGTTCAACAAAGAATGGATTAAAATTTCGAAATATGCATCATTTTTACAAGTGTCGAACAGATTCATCACTTGCACATTGTTCTGTGTGTAAATCGAATTTTTCAATTGCTAATGGTGGGAAGTATTTGATCGATCGTCATCTTGAACAAGCGAATCACAAGCGTCTAGTAGCAGCAGAAGCTAAACACATATGTAATTTAGTTTGTTCTTAATTCAAAAGAATACTAATTATGTTGAGCTATTGTCTTTTAGCACATTCAATGTTTGATTTTATTCCTCACTCGACTGAATTGACAAAGTTGGTTGCTGCTGAAATCACATTAGTTTATCACGGAATACGTCATGGACATAGCTATTTGAGTCAGGCATGCACTGCTGATGTCTCGAAGAAATTGTGTCAAGATTCAACTATTGGAAAAAATCTCACATGTGGACGAACTAAAGCTCGTGAAATTGCTGCTAATGTTTTAGGTGAGTAATAATTCTTTTCTAAAACAGAAGTATACTAACCAATTAGAGAAGAAGGGTAAAGATCGTTAGACGAATATTTCTTATTTTTTTACGATCTTTTTTTAGCTCCATTTATGACTTCTCAAATTACAGAAATGATTAATAAATCCGGTTTTTATTCTTTATCATTCGATGCATCTAACAAAGGTCACAAGAAAATGTTCCCATTTGTTGTAAATTACTTCACAGTTCGTGGTATCGAACGATCAGTGATTGAAGTAATTGAACTAGTTAATGAAACAGCTGATCATATTGTTGCTTCACTTCGAGAAGTATTGCAAATGAATAATATTGATATTCAGAATATGACATCAATTGGTGCTGATAATACAAACGTTAATTATGGACGAATTCATTCTGTTTTTTCTTTGTTGAAATCTGATATTCCACATCTAAAGAAAGGTGTTTTGCTATTGAGGAAAAATACACATGTCCCTAATAATAATGTTTTCTTCTAGGAAATTGTTTTTCACATGTCCTAAATAATGCAGTTAAAACTTCACATATACACTTGGTCATTGATGTTGAATCAATTTTGTCAAAACTCTATGGTCACTTTTCTTCTTCAACAAAACGAGTAGAAACTCTCAAAGAGTACTTTGATTTTGTCGAGCAAGATCATTTAGTAAAGCATATATCATATTATTAATAGTCATCAATTTTTTTTTATATTCAGTTATTATTGAAACACATCAATATTCGTTGGCTTAGCCTATATCCGTCTATTGAACGATTACTCAAAGTATTTGATCCATTATCTGCTTATTTTTTGGATTTGGGTGACGAAGATGCTTTTCCATGTCCACCAATAATTTCAATGTTTTTTACTTCTACTGAAGCCAAATGTACAATGTATTTTTTGCACAATGTTTTGTTTGATTTACAGAAAAAGAGCTTGGAATTGCAACGATACTACGTTTCTATTGTTGATTTGAGTAGAATCATCACTAGTCTTCTTAGCAAACTTAATGACCGATTGAAACAAAATTATTTTGGTTATCAAACGAAAAGTCTATTGAATTCATTGCCCGATTCAGATCGAAAAAAACTGAATCAATCATTTATCGATTATATGTCTAGTGTAATTAAATATATTGAGAAATATTATGATGAACAATCTGAATTGGCTGAATTAACTGCAGTTTTTGGTATGTTTTATTGTGATAATCAGATAAGAGAACAGCTTCATTTTCCTAGGCATACGTGAAATCGATCAAATAAAATTTCATCAAATTGAAGAGTGTGTCGTTTTTCTCAAGTTGGAAATTGATCATGATAAATTATTCGATGAATTGAATATTTTACAATCCACATTCAAAGAAGTCAATTCATATCGTGAACCATTGAGTGATCAAATTCGAAAATATATCGGTGACGCTGCTCATAATTTCAGTGGAGATATAATCAATGATCAAAATAATGAATCACAGGATGAAGAAGATCTTTTTCATAAAGCAACAATTGAAATTCATGAAAAAGAAAATCAGATTCGATCTGATCAATTGTGGGCATATCTGCTCACAAAATCAACAACTTTATGCAGCGAAATG